GCGCCCCCCCTGTCCCCCCCGCCGCCGCTTTGGACAGCACGTGCAATACAGCCTGTACTTGTTCCTCTGCTGGTGTTGCCTTTCCAGTGACCTTTAAAACAAAGCGGTTCCTGGGGTTTCACAGGCGGGCTGGCGAAGCCCGTTCCCCCCTCTGCAGCCACGCAGACCCACGCTGGCCCCTGCAGAACATGCTGTCGGTGGCTGTACTGACGGTGCCTTAAGCTTTACATGGACAAGTGAGATGTTCTGAATGCAGGAACAAGCTCCCCCCTTACTTACATCTTTTCTCATCTTCGTTTTGGGACCACATGTGGCTGCTGGTGCCTGGAGCAGCGCCGCTGAGGTCTGGGGTGCTGGCAGCGTGTGGGTCCCTGCTCAGCTCAGGCTGGGACTGCAGACTTCCACCCTCAGCCCTCCAGACCCTGTTATTAAGCCACTCTTCTGCTTCTTCATTTGGCAGTTTAGATTGTCTCAGTATGATAAGCTGCTATAGGAGTTGAAAGTTCTTATCTGTTTCTATCGCTTTCATTATTTGTTTGTTTTTCTGGAAGGAGGAGAAGCTATTGGACTTTCTCATTTTCTCTGTGTGCTTATTCATAGCTCCTTAAACCCAGGCTGTTTTTCACAGAGGCTGAGATATTGGGAAAATTCAAATTTCCTGTGTGCCTCATATGGAAAAAGCTCTTTAATTTTGTAGATTGTAGCATATTGAAAATATACTTTCTTGCAAAGTGTTTGCCATGTTCTACTCTGGCCTCACACTCCTGCATCCACTCAGTTTAGAAACGGATTCCTTCTGATCACAAAACGTCCTTTTCCCTCCTTTACATCCCAGAAACAGGCAAAGGTGGGGTTGGTGCCTGGAGGATGCAGCATCTAGTAACACATCAGCAGGTCCCTTATCTTGTTTACCACAGCAGTTCATGGTTATGTGTCCTAGATGTCAGGTCCAGGAGGGTGTCCACTGTCCTGATGTGACAGGCTTGGGGCTGGCTCAGCCGGGCAGCCCAAGCAGGCTAAAGGAGGCTCCTCCAGCGTGAGCCACCGAGCTCCAGCATCCAGGATCATGTGTAGATTAGGTGAGGGAACAAAGGCTGATATTGTTTATCTTTTGGGAAAGGAAGTCAGAGAAGGGCCTCCCCTGTCTCTACGCTGGATAATTGAGATATCTGTAATCTAATGAGCACGCTTCTGGAAGCAGTTGGTGTTGAAGAGAAGCCCATGAAATGAGGCAGGAGCGGAGCCCAGCTGCATGTTGATAGCGCTCCTCGGCTGTGGTTTCAGCGCCAGGATCCTACCTGACTGTTAAGCACAGGGTACCCCGTGGGCATCGTCCACATAAATAATGAATGAGGTGTAATACGTGGGGTGCATTTGAAATTTATCGCAGCCAGGAAGAGGGTTCTGCTGGGGAAGGTGGTGCAATGGGTGCCTTGGCGAATGAACGCTGTGGGAGGAAAAGCAGAGCTATTTGCAATGTAAAGAGGTTTTTAATTCACTTTCACAGCCCTTCCCCTCATGCTGTTAAATAAGTTTGACTTTGAAGTGAAGCCCAGAGAGTTGTTATCTGCTCAAAGGCAGAACAAACATTTTCATGTTATCACCTTCTTGCCCTGCGTGTGAGGGAACCTGGCACAGCAGATACCAGCTTTGTCTCCCCAGGACCTCGCCACTTCCCTGGGAGCCCAGAGTTGAATTTACCATGAATGAGCAGTTTAAATTCCTTTGTTTTAATGTTTCTTGGCTAAAGAGACAGAAATCTCAATGCTTCCAGGGCTTTCTGCTTGGGATACCTGTGCCTTCAGCAGCAGCTTGCTTTAAACTCAGACTTAAGTCTGGCTGAAAGGGGGTGCAGCTGGGACCTCTGCTCACAAAGTAAAAGCCTGCTCCTGCCATGGCGGAAGGATTTGCTGTCAGCCCATGGGCAGTGCTGCGGCAGCTCCGCAGGTACCCGGGACCGCCCGTGAATCCCTTTGTATCTGCACAACAAGGAGCTTTGTTCGGTGTTTTGCAAATCTTTGGTGCTGGATGTTGAACGTTTTCGTTCTCAAATGGGGTGATGGTTTAAGTGGTTTCCTCTTCCCTTCAAAATGAGTAAACTTCCAAACCACTAAGCTGGTGAGTATTGACTGACTCACCAATGGGATTAGTGGAGATCAAACACATTATGTCTGGTTTACTTGGACCTGGCCTTGCTGCAAGCCTGCAGGCTCAGCTCCTGCTGGTGAAACAGTGCTAAGCTGTCATGTGCATGCTGAAAGCCAGCTCTTGGGTTGGTTGGATGTGGAGCAGATAGGGAGAAGGGTTAATCCTTTGTTCCTTACCCATACGTACCACAGAAGCAACAGAAGACCAGCCAAACCCACCACTATGAGAGTCCCTGTTAATGTTTTCTGACAGAGGCTCTGCTCTTATCAAGGACCAATTGACTTTTGCAGAGTGTTATTGCAGCTCATG